GCTCTCGGCAATTCTTGGCCTTGAGATTCAGTTGTCCCAACGAGCCTGCTTCTGATTTCTTGAGGCCCTGTGATGGCAAGAGTGAGAACTCACGGGATGAGGCCCTCTGCCCTCCTTCACTTTTCCTGTGGGCAGTGCTCTATCATCATTAAACACGTCTCTCGTCTACTAAAGAATTTAAACTCTTCTCTGCTCAGCTAGATCTTTTTTACAAGTGTAGCTCACACTTCCTTTTTTAGGTTTGTCCCGGATTACCTCATTAGAGCTAGGTAATTACAGCTAGAAGGCCCATATTTATGGACTACATCTCAGCTGCTAGCTGTAAGGTAGGCAGTTTGAGAAAGGTGAGGCTAAGAAACACCCTAGGAAGCAGTTCTTGCACTGTTCTACTGTCGATGAGTTGTGATGAGTCAGCATCAACTCAAAGGCAATTGGGGTGTGGTTTGGTTTAACTGCTTCCTTAACATGAACTCTAGAAATGAAATCGCTTAGTCACAGAATATGAAAATTGTAAAGTTTGTCATTGTCCTCCAAAGGTTGTGCGAATTTACTGTCTGCTGGTTTCTTCATGTGTTAATCAACACAAAGAATAAATGTACAGAACCAATGGGTCACTTATTTTACTTCTTACTCCAATGAATTATACCTGCTCTTGTCTGGTGCTATAGTTAGAATGTTGGCAGCACATTTTAAATGATACTAGTAGATAAGGACATAACTTTTCTTTTTCAACTTTTTGCTGAGTCAGGTGAAGGTTTACAGAGCCGCTCATTGATTGGACATTCAACAGTATCCTGCCCTGTCTCTCTCGTGGGATATTGTCTCTTTCACCCAAGTTAACATCTGATTCCCTGTGTTTCCAGTTCTTATCGGTAGCCATGTACATGCTCTGTTTAGCTGCATTTGTGACATAGAATTGGGATCATGATAGTGGGGGGAAGTGGGGGAAAGCATTAAAGAACTAGAGGAAAGTTGTATGTTTTTCATCATTGCTATACTGCACCCTGACTGACTCATCTCCTCCCCACCACATTTCTGTAAGGGGATGTCCAGTGGTCTACAGATGGGACTTGGGTACCCCCCGCCCCCCACTCATTCTCAAGGATAGGATTTTTTGTTCTTTGATGCCTGCTACCTGATCCCATCAACACCACATGATCACACAGGCTGGTGTGCTTCCTCCATGTGGG